CTATGTCTTGTAATATAAATATCTAATGTTTTTTACAGAGTAACATAAAAAACTGTAAACACTGAGATCCACAAGACCTAATGTAACTACACCTTAGAAAAAATATGGAAAAATGTCCAACTTGTGGCCGTTAAAACAAAACAAAAAAAGAAGAAAAATTATATTATATAATAATATCTATTCCCTGCTATATAATCTAACTGGAAAGTTTTGAAATCATTTCAATGTCTCATTAAATTTTTTTTTTGTTTGTTTGTTTGTTTTTATCTTCCTTGAATTTGTTAAGGACTTTGTACTTATTGCAAATGTTTTATAAAGATTGATCCTGAGAACAGAGTGAAGGCAGGATAGAGTGGTTCAGTAAAAGTTGTGCGTACAGTGTATAGGTGAGTAACCTTCTTTGGAGATACTTTAAAGAAGGACAATATGCCTGCTGGCCAGTCAAGATACACTCCAATGCTTGTTGTGCCAAAAGAATTGCTCCACAAAATCATTTTCGCTTCAATAATAGATTCAGTTGAACCATTGTGAAGAAAAGTACCATCTAATGTCAAACACCAAGACTTTTCATTCTCCCCCAAAGAATATTCTGATGAACTGTCTCCAGCTCGGGTGATACTTTTGTATGCTGCCCCCACTCCAATGTCTGATATATAGCTACACTCAACTTCCCAGTAATGGCGACCTGTTAGAGCCTCTTTACAGAGAACTTGTAGAGTACGAAATCTGTCTGGATGTGGGGGGTACTCTATCCCCTCATGGTCAAAAGTGACGTGTTTATGGTCTCGGGTCAAAGTAAGTCTATTCCCTGCTGTGTTTTCATCCAGTGTCACATCACAGGCATCTGGAATTGACAGAAAACAGGTTATCATCACATGTGATGAAAATTTAATAAAAGGGTTATATATCATAAAGACTATAATACAGCAATCAAAGTCTGATCCTATTAAACAGTAAAAGACTGTTTTACTGTTACACTTATATGTATAACCTAGGAAGTGCTAGTAAGTGTACTGTATATCTAAAACAATGGCCTAGCTGAATTAAAGATGGGGAGCTGAATAAAGATGATCATAATTTTCTGTCATGAAGAAAATAATAATTTTATTGCTATCAAGTTTCTTGTACCAGTTTATTTTGTTGTTTTATTTAAGGGGTTCAATTAATAATTCTCAAACCGATATACTGCATATCTTGCATTATTTGAAATCAAATACTACATTCTTAAGGGTTTTATTTTCTTCTTTTTTTCAAAATTATTTCTACGGTCTGTACTATTCCAATAGTAGAGTCAGAAGAATACAGAAGAATACATTTTTTCACAGAGCCTTCACTGATTTGAGTTTGAGATTTATGTTTTAAATCAACTAAAAACTGAACCACTGGTAGTTGTGAAGGCTTGTAATTAACAATGCTTTATTTGACATTTTCGAATTTTTGCACTGAATTTTGGGCAAAAGATTATGTACCTTAAAGAATCGGTGTATGCTATGTAATGGCTGAGCTATACATACTCACACTTTTGCAGTAGTTTGAGATCAACCCAGCATTCTTCATTGTTGTCCACACTGGTAGCAGGAGAACAAAAACAAGCAAAGATACAGTCATTTAAAGCATGGACTAGAAAAAATATGCAAACTTTGAAACTCAGTCTAGAAATAAGTTTCACAAATCAAGTAAGTTCTTACTTAAGAATTTCAAGACTGCAGTGTGTATCCATCTGCTTTTTCTTTAACATTTTGGCTCCTTCATCTGTCAGGTGATTAAAGCTTAGGTCCAGTTCCTTAAGGCTGCAGTGTTCTGACATGAGAGCATGTGCCAAATAAGAACATCCATCTTCTGTCACTTTACAGAAGGACAACCTTGAGAAATAAAGCACCTTTATTTTAAAAAGCAGTAAGGTGGACTTAGAAGCTCCAGTTTCCACTCTCTAAATTCTTGTGGTCTCTTTAACTATCTGTATATATATATATATATATATATATATATATATATATATATATATATATATATATATATATATATATATATATATATATATATAGAATGTTGTGCCAGTTCATAATTAAAGAGAACAAGCTTTAGTTCACTCGGTTGAGAATGAACTAGCTTATATTCATAGTTTAATTTATCAAAATTGAACTAAGTTTACAAAGCTATGAATGACCTAGTTCGACTTCATTTGGTAAATTAGCCGCAATCCTATACAATAGAACCTCATATTTCACCCTTTAAATGTGTGATCATAATTTATAGAAAGAAGTGGAAAATACTTCAGTCAAGGACATACAGGGACATTAAGCTTCTGCTGAAAAGATCTGTATCAAAAAGCATTTCTTATGTTCCTCATTCAGTACTAAAGATTTCCCGAGATAGCTCGGATGCTTTAACTCGATGTGTGGCTTTAAATCTTAAGTTTACGTGGCTGACGTACAGAGTTGTTAGTTAAGTACCAGTGTGAGTTTTTTTCTGTCAGTCTTCCTTGGCAGCTTTCATAAATCTGCCAAACTGGCATCAGAAATACCAGAAGATAAGCCTGATCATCTGTCCGAATGGTATGTTAACTGAGTTTACTATAAAGTCCAATATATAGTCTCCTCTATGATTGAGTGATTTAGGGGTTAGGGTAGATGTTGGGACACAGACTAGTAGTAGCAGCAAACATGCTGGTCTGTTTGCTGTAAGAAGTGCTGTAATACCTGCCGTTATCAAATGAAAAGTGTCTTTATCAATTGAAAGCTTGTGTGTGTCGCTCATTATTCTCAGAGTGCACTTTGCTCTCGTTTAAGTTCATTACTTCAAAACTGATCGGTTTAGCTAAACATTCACTAAAAACATGAACGTATTCAGTAAATCATTGAACCCATTCATGCACAACATAAATACACTCAACAAAAATATCTAGATCTAAAACATTTTCCACATACACAATATAACCACATACACAATATAACCATTTCACTCAAATATTGTCCACAAACCATTCTATTCACTCTATGATAGTGAGCACTTCTCCTTTGCTGAGATAATCCATCCCACCTTACAGGTGTGCCATATTAAGAGGCTGATTAGATACTATGATTAGTGCACAGCTTAGACCCCGTATTTAAGGGAAATGGTGATATTATGTAAGTGGAAAAAGTTTTAAAAAATGGGAGCAACGGGGCAAACTTTGGTGGCCCAGTGGTTAGCCCACACGACCCATGTATGGAGGCCTTAAGGCTGATTTATACTTCGAAACTAGGTTGTCTGAGTAGGTGTTGCAGTGAACAAAAAGACATCCCCACCGCTTCCGCTGACACTCTGCTGCACCTCTCCCAAACTGTAGGTGACTGCAGACAGTGCCACAGACAGGAGGCCGGCTTGTTTTGTTTTTATGACCGCAGTTGTGGAAAACAACTCGCGAAGTTTGACCAGCTAGAAGAGAAAGGTGCGCGAGAACGCTGGGACCCTTTTTCCCACCTGGATTCCCACTCTTTTTCGCCCTCATGTCCCTCCATTGTCGCACAAACTTGCCCGTATCTAGGCCCACAGCTTGTTCCTGTTTCTATTGCATTGTGGCGTGGAATAGCGCAGGCGACGATCCAAAACTGAGCATAAATCAAAAATGTCTGCGTCAAGCACACTGCAACACTCTGCTACAGGGAGTATAACCAGCCCTTTAGTCCTCGACGCGGGTGACCGGGATTCGAATCCAACCTGTGCTCCTTTCCCTTTCATACCTCCTTTCCTGTCAGCCTACTGTCCATAAAAAAAAAAACGAGCCACTAGTACTGTAAAATCTCAAGAAATAAAAAAGGGAGCTAAACCAAAAGTGTTGCATTTGTAAGAACGTGTATGTATATATACAAGTTATGCAGATAAAGTAAGCAGCTTACTAACCATAGTGCTTTTAAAACACAATGTGAAGTCGTGAGTGCATTGCAAAGCTTCTCTATGCCAGCATCATGGAGGTCATTGTAGCTCAGGTCCAGCTCTTTTAAAGATGAAGGTCTAGAGCTGATTGCTGAAGCTAGCGTCTCACATCCTTTTACAGTTAGTTTGTTGTGACTAAGCCTGAAACATAGAGTTGATTTCAATCATTATATCAACGTTTTTCCAGGCTTAAAGAATTTAAAATTGTGGAATAATTTGCAAAAAATTGGCTTCATTTTTCACCATATAAAATAAGACATTTTATCATTTCTATTTTCCTTTAGTATTTATTTTCATTTTTACCTTAGTGTCTCCAGAGTGCAGCTTGTGTTCATTAATGCAACTGAGAGAATCTCCATATCCGAGTCTCTAAAATTGGTGTAACTTAATTCTAGTTCTCGCAGATTTGAGGCGTTTGATTTAAATGCTGCTGCTATCTCATTACAGATGTCGGTAATCCAGTAGTTTCTGTTCAGCCTGTGATTGAAATAAACAACAGGAAAATAGCATAGTTAACAGTCAATAGCCCAGTTATTAATCCATAAAAAAAAAATTAAAGCTTTTAGTTACTAAAAGACATATTTATATATTACTTTTTAGTGTTTTAGGAGAAAGCCAAATTTAGTCAAGTTTGGAATTTATTAGTTTTTTTATTAAAACAAAAAAGGGCAAGATGTTTTGGTGAAAAAGAACAAATCTGACTGTTTAAAAACTCAGAGTGGGTCAATTTCTGAAACTAAAAGCAATTAAAAGCTTTATTTTGGTGTCTGAACCATCCTTAAAGCAACTGTAAAAAAACTGACCTGAGCTTCTCCAATTTTTTGGAACACAGTCCATCCGAGATCACAGAGGGTAATGAGTTCTTTAGGATGTTGTCGCTAAGTTCCAGCCGCTTTAGATTTACGATAACAGATTTTAAAGTTAATGCCAACTCTTCTTCATCTGACCCGGTGAATCCTCTTCCTGAGAGACTGCATTAGGTGAACATGAGGCAAAAAAAAAAAAAAAAAAAAAAAAAAAAAAAAAATATATATATATATATATATATATATATATATATATATATATATATAAATACATTTCTTGGGTGAATATCCAAACAAAGAATCAAGAATCACAATTACTTTGAAAGCTATGAAGGATGTAAGGACTGGTATCTAGCTGAAAATTAAACTAGAAGAGCTTTCTTTAACATCTGTTGCATCTCTTGATTTTTAAGTGATGTTTGCAAGTTTATATTTATATTTTAATAGCTGACTATACACCATGTATAAAAAACAATCAATGTTTATATTCATTTTACCATACCTTTTTGGAGAAAATTAAGAAAGTAGACTCTGCATGCATCTATGCAAGCTGTCTGAGTTAACTCTTTGGAATGACTGCCAAACAACAGCAATTAGTGGCCTAAATGATGTAATAGTGTTTTATATTATAATTCCATAAAAGGTTTAAAAGCTAAAGCAAGTCAATTAAAATAAAAAGTCTGTAAGTAAAAGTTGCCATGTCCTTTTATGCATGGTATGATACTTAAAACATATATCAGAAGCATGGAGGAAAAAGACAGCAAATAGGATCTGAGACCCAAAAAGTTTCACAGCATATGTATATAATAATCAAGTATATATTTTTGCTTACCCATTTCAGATACAAAATAGGGAAAAAAAGCAAATAAAAACAAAGACAGATAACATCACTTACCTTAGCGCATCAAGTTTGCATTGAGCGTTTTTTAGTCCGTCAATCAAGATCTGAGTACCATAGAAAACGACGTTTACCAGATGCAGTTCCTTTAGCACAGATTGAGACATCGACAGGGCTGAAGAGATTGTTTCACAAATCCAAGAATCGAGATGTATACCTGAGATTCTGTAAAAATAATGTCATTGTTGATCAAGATAAGGCAAAAATTACAGGCAAACACATAGTAGTCTATTACAGTTTTGAAGTGGGTTTCTGTCAATGATCAGCAGCATAATAGAACACAAACATGACTAAAATTAAGTACTTTAATTTATAGTACTCTTTTTTTTTACATAACGAACTGGAACTAGCCAGCTAGTCAAATTGGACATTTTGTAACATATTGCACCATATTGCATATGCTTTTTGACATTTAAGCAGAAAAATATGTGGCCCAATTAAATCTAAATTCTGTAAGGAAAAAAAAGTCAGTATTTCTATAGTTCCTTCCTCATAAATATATATATATATATATATATATATATATATATATATATATATATAATTTTATTTTTTTAAGACTTGAACTACATTAAACTACATTTTATTGGATAAAAACTAGACAAGTGAGAATTTAGAGAGAGTAAACAAATTTATATAAATTGGCAAAGCTGAAAATGCTAGATATTTGCATAATTTATGTGATTACTGACATGTAATCCTAAGGTCTTGACATTACTTCATAAAAAGATTGATAAATATAGAAAAAGATTATAATCTCCATACAGGTAATAGAGTTCATATTGTTAAACAGCGGCTGCAAATCAGTCTACCTTATCAAATGATACAAATTTTTTTTGTAAAACTTGTCCAGGAAAGAGTTGGTTAAACTTGTGGGGAGTATTCCTGTCTTGCTTCAAATGTATGTTTATTATTTTTATTCAACCTTAAATAATAAAAAGATACAGATAAAATTCCTGATTTTTGCATAGTAGTAAATTGTTTACCTGAAAAAAACTCAGTGTCACCCGATTGACACAGTTTATTATTCTGCTCTGTTATTTATAAGGAACTGCAACAAATTTTCAGCTTGGTTTTCTTTATTTATTTATTCATCTTCTGCCTTATTTATTCATTAGAATCATTAGAATTTTCAACTTTATTTTTTTAATTACTAGTGTCTTTAGATTTTTTTTCAGTGTACACTTTGTTTTTTTGTCAGTTTTGTTTGCCTTTATGTTTTACCTCCAGTACTTTCTTCCACCCTATTTATTTCTGCCTGCCCTTTTCCATTTCTGTTCACATTTCTGCATCAGTATGCAAATAGGGAGGGTTGATCTTAAGGGAGCAGCTTCTGCCTGTTGGTTGGTTACATGATAAGAAGATGGCTACCTACAGTGAGGTTATCAATGAGCTCTGCTGAGGTGCCTTGCAGTTTTATTTGAAAATAGTGCAGCAACAATGGACATTTTTGTTGTCCCTGAAACAAATTTGCTATGAGAGCTTGTGTTTAAGTTAGCTGCACACAAGGACACAGAGCTTTAGTTGTCTTATCCTAGATCCTTCTCAAAAAAAGCAGAAAGCATTTGGCAGGGGAAGCAAATTCAGTCTCAACGTCATTATAACCAGCTATATAGAGATATAAGGTTTTTTAAATTTAGAGAAGTGTGCTGCTAAGTTCGTTCTAGAATTTCAGTGTGGCTTAAAAGAGAAAATGATGCTTATTGTTTTTCCCTGGTATCATATGTGAGAAAGTTTGCCTGAAATGAGGATGATTGAATAAAATTCAATAACCAAATAAAACTTAATACATAAAAAAGATAATGCCATGTTATAAACAAGTAAACATCTCAGTGCTCATTTCCAGGTGACTATAACACTATGTGCTTTGATTGCAGCACATCTAGAGAAGTGCTCTGAAGCAGTGCTGCACTAAAACATTAAATAAGATTTTTTTTCCCCAAGCGCCTGCTGAGTGATCTACTACTCTCTCAGTAGATATTTGTTATGCTGGTATTGGAAAATCCGCTCCCAAATACAGCTTTTTCTTCAGATGTACTCTGTGCAACAGAGAAATCTCTTGTCAAGGCATAGGCTGAAATAACAAACCTATTATAAGGGCCAACGACAAAGGTTGTGGAAAATAACAGTATAGAAAAGCAAGATATTACAAAAAAAAATAGTGAAAATCAAAACAAATGATGGCAAAATTAGATTTCCATTAACTTATTTGCAGCAGTTATTCATCAAGGCTTAGGTTGCTGTGGTGATATACTGCATTGCTGTTACATGTGATCCAAATGTAGATTTTTACTATCCATATGTGTCTATTCTCCTAACCCTGAGATATCTGTCTGATATATAAAATGACAATGTCAGTGTGACAGCTGCTCCAACTAAACAGCTGCTGCTCAGTGATAACCCCATAATCGGTAGCCATATTTGTTGTGACTGGGTCTGCCCTGATAACATGTAGATTTTATTTATAAGCCCCTCCTTAATACAGAAACTGAACACTCAATAAACAAATAGTTAGGGTTGAAGAAGTAGACTAAAGAAGAAAACAATAAAACAGAAAAATAAATTAAAGTTTACAAAGATATAAACATATATTTTAAAAAAAACAAGTAATAAAAAGCTGAAAATTACAATATAAAATAAATTAATTAATAAGGTAATTATTCAAAAGATAAACAAATAAAGAAACCAATAAAAATATATTTGTACGTTTAAATCTCTTTAAATAATTTCATTACTGCATACTAATAATACTAAACTTATAATAATAACACTCACCTTGCTTTCTTACTGTTCCTTATTGCAGGGATAAGTCTAAAAAAGCCCTTTTCTCTTGATGTGTATCTCTTCAAGTCAAATTCCTCTATTGGCAAATTTGACATTAGCATTAAATCAGCCAAAGCTGAGCACTGAACAGGGGTGAGCTGATTTTCTGGGTACCGATTTGGATTCAGAAACTCCTTCACACTGTCATACAATGAATCATCCTTCAGTTCTGCCAAACAGTGAACAAGGTTGAGACATCTGTCTGGAGAGCAGTCCAGAAGATCTATTTCCATTAGACTTGTCCTGATACTCTGAACAACCTCAGAGTGGTCTTCTGTTTGCTGAATGAGGCCTTGAAGCAGATCTTGTGTAGACTGTAAAGACATACCAATGAGGAACCGAAGGAAAATGTCCAGTTCTCCTGTCTTTCTCGAAGTTGAGTTTGCTATTGCAATTTCTATTAGCTCATCCAAAGGGAGATCCACTGGTTTTGCATCCAATATTGTCCTCACCTCTTCCTCCGACCCTAAAATAAGGAAGTCTTTGAGTCTCTGTGAATCTATTGTTTTACTTGCAAAGTTTTCATATACAAAGAGGGCAGCAAAGTATTCTTGAACAGTCAAATGCACAAAACAGTAAAGTTTCTTTGAATGAAAGACACTCTCTTCTTTAAATATTGCAGTGCACAGTCCACAGTAGACTCCAGCTTTATCAATGTCTAATCCATATTTTTTTAGATCATCACTGCTGAATATGATCTCCCCTCTATCCAGTTTTTCATATGCCATTTTTCCCAGTTTAAAAATGAATTCCTTGTTCGTCTGAAGTATATCACCAATACAATGCAGGCTTTCTTTGTCGTATTTCTCAGCAGCAATCTTTATCTGAATACAGAAGAAGTGTGTGTACATTTCAATAAGAGTTGTGGGTGTCTTGGTGTTTTTATATTGACCGTTTCCCATTCCTAAAAAGAATGACTCAAGAACTTTTGAGGCAATCCAACAGAAGACAGGTATGTGACACATGATGAATAAGCTCCTTGATGTCTTAATATGGTCAATTATTTTTTCAGCTACCACTTTGTTCTGAATTCGATTCCTGAAGTACATAATTTTCTGTGGATCTTTAAAACCTTTAACTTCTGTCCACTGATAGACATGTTCTTTGGGAATACGATGAACAGCTCCGGGTCTTGAGGTTATCCAAACAAGAGCAGAGGGCAGAAGATGTTCTCGGATGAGATTAGTCACCAGGGTGTCTACAGACGATTCTTTTGTGGGGTCTGTCAATCTTTTGGTTTTTTGGAAGTTTAGCGAAAGTTGACTTTCATCAAGGCCATCAAATATGAATAAAACTTTGTATTTTGCAATGTTTTTTGCAACAGCTAAGTTGTTGAGCTCTGGGTGGAATTCTTTAACAAGAGCCTCAAGGCTAAAGTTGTCATCCTTAACCAGATTGAGCTCCCTGAATGGAAACATGAAAATAAAGTCCAGGCCTTGGTTGGCTTTCCCATCTGCCCAGTCAAGGATGAACTTTTTTACAGACACAGTTTTACCGATTCCAGCTATTCCTTTAGTCATCACTGTTCTTACTGCATTGAATTCCGCTTCTTCTGACTCAGATAAAATACTATCTTCCGTTTTGCTTTTAAATATATCATTACAGTTTATTTTAATTCCTTCTTTTGCTTGATTTCTAAACTTGTCTTCCATCTCCCAAATCTCATGTTGTGTATTCACATATTCACTTTCTCCTTGAACAACGTAAAGCTCTGTGTAGATTTGATCCAATGATTTCATTTCTTTGCGAGATCTTTCAGTTCCTTCAAACTCCCATTTGCACTTTTTCTTCAAATAGTCTTTGTTCTTTTTGATGACGTCTTTAATAGTATCCTCAGCTGTGGGAACAAGAGAGGAATAAATAGATTTTAAACTATTTCACTTTAACATTGTAAAAAAAATTTTAATGGTGTGCTGAATTTGAAGTAATTACAAACAAACAAACAAAAATAGTGGCTAGAAAAAATAAGTTAGAATACACTAACTTTCAGGCCATTTGTCCAAGCAGGTGTCAACACATCTTTTGTTATCTTCCAATGGATTATGGTGCATAATATCTCTGAGATTTTTCCAACAAATTAACAATAGTTTATGAAATACAAAGTCCGCTAAAAAGATGTATATGAGGTATGTGTGTCCCATGTAACAAGGCCTTGATTTGACTTATGTATAGCTATGAGGTATATAAATCAACTTTGTCAAAGTACTTTTTAAGAATAGTGCTAGTTACTGGTGTTTTGTTCTTTTCCGATAACCACTTCTTGCCATACAGTTCATATGAAAGGTTATACTTTGCACACAGTTAAAGAGTGCTTACATGAGGTCAAATATGTGCTGCTGTAATAAGGACATTATTAGAATGACTGCCATTAGAACTTAAAGCGCTCACCATGGCAAGGTAAGTCAATCACCAGTGCTGACACATGCATAAAGTAGCAGGATTAATCTCATGTAATGGTCTTTGCACATATGGCAGAATGACTTAAATGCAGATTGACAGAAACAGGATGTGTACTGGACTCTTTGTGCTGCAAGCTGAATACCTTTGCACTGCATTGACAAGTTATGTATGTAGCATTGTGACAGAAATTTTCTACAAACTTTATTATAAAAACAGAGATCGATATAAAGTACATGGCACATACTTTCACAAGTCTCAGGTTGGGTTTCTCTGAGGATTCTGTAGAAAGCAGATTTTGCCTCAGTACAGTTGAGTGCAGTGAAGAGTTCTCTCATCTGATCTTGGCTCTTTGTGGCAGCCTTGATTTGGTTATACCACTCTTTATGGATTATTCTGCTCTGGAGCATCTGGTCAGCTATGGGCATCACTAAAGTTACACTTTGTATCAGGTGAGCCCTATTATTCTCCACCCAGGTTGCTTCTGTTAACAAGAAGGGTTATGGCAAAAGACAGCAAGAATGTTATATATTATACATGATTCAACACTTAGAAATCACACTCAGATTGTTCCTACCGATTACCTACCTTTTTCTTCAATTGACACTGGATTGGATGGGCTGACAAAAAACAAAAGTAATTTAATTATACAGAATTATAAAAATTGGGGATGCTTGAAGCTGGTAAATATACTTTATACATTCAGGGTGTAACGCACAGAATGTTTTTGGTCAATTTATCTGATCAAACACCATCCTGTCCCCAGGATATGAAGATGAGTGCCAGAGAGACACAAGATAATAATTTACGACAATCTGAAAGACTGGACTTTGGCCAGTGTATCTCAATAACATGTGCTGTGATGATGCCTGTCCCATATTTATATAATAAATTTTATCCAGCTGTCAGTCAGTGACTTTAATTCAATCGGCTGGGTTTCTTGATATAAGTTTTTTTTATATATATGAGTGCAATTGGCTGAACCTGATTGTGGTGTTTTATTACTAGGACAGAATTAGAATGTATTCATTTGACCAGGACATTTTCTTTCAGTGAGTTAATTACATATTTCCATGTATAAAATATATATCCTTTTTGTTGTGTAAACTGCCTTAGGATAGTATTTGTTGTAAAATGCACCACATAATAAATCAAATTAAATTATTCTCTGTTTTATTTGTATTAGAACTATTCATTATTGTACAACTAATTATATAGAAATACTGCAACATGTGAATTTTTTTAACTTAAACCAAATTATTTAACATCTGTTATTCATTTTCTAGGACAACTCTAGTTCTGTAATTAAACCTACATGTACAGTATGATGATTCAAATTCATAGCAGACACTTGAATAGTAGGAAAAAAAATAAAATAAAGCTTACCTTGAATTATGATCTCCAGTAGGAATATGCTCATTTGTTACACTGATAGTCTCATTGGTCAATGTTACCTTTCCTTCTCTGATATCCTCTAAACAAGGTTGCTTTGAATTTGAAAACCTTTCTTCACTTCTGTCTTTTTCAGGAAAACAGTTTTGTTCATCATATCTGTCGATCCCTTCCTTTGTTTCGGTACAGTTTGTGAGGGCAGAGCATGGCTTTTCCATGATTTATTTACCACAGTGACTCTGTCAAGTATAAAAAATAAGGAGAAATACAATTTAATACAAAAAAATTTGCTTGCTGTTACTGTTAGTACAATATTTTTTTTAATAGGTTGACTTAAGCTTAAGGTTAGAGGGTTCAAAGAATCTCTTTAAAAGTGAAAGTATAACATTTTTTCCTGTCTTTGCCAGTCTCGTGTTTTTGCTTGTGGGATTAATCATTTAGCATAACCATTATTGTAGAAAGCAGCCTTAGATTTAATATGTAATCTTGGTATATTAACAGTAACTTACTATATTAGCTAAAATACCTTTTTTCACCCAAAACATTAACACAGTTCTGTGATTAAAATTTTTTTATAATAAAAATCATCAGAAATAGTGTAAAATACTTTACCTTAATGTCCTGAGAAGCACAAAAAGCAGCAGCAGAAAAAGACTGTAATTAAGACGACTGCAGCTGCACTGGCTCACAGGGGAAACTTGCCAGCAGTTATTTTTTCCTGTAACAGGAAATGGTCGTACGTTAGGAGGAGCAATAAGACTGTGTGTCAGTGAGTGTGTTTCTGTATGTGTTTTCGTAAGAGGCCGCTTAACTCCTCAGTTGCTTTTCACTACATGTGAACTAGCTTTCTTGAATCAAACTCCAAACATAATGTAGATATTTAACAAGTTGAGTTTAAGCTGACTGACAAGCTAAAAAATATGCATACCCTTGGCAGATAGTGCTGGACTCTGCTTAGTTTTTCTGGCATAAAAAGAGAGTAGCAAAGTGTCTATTTGCAAGAAGACAGGAGCTAAAGGATTGTGCGTTTGCAAAAGAAATGCTGCAAATGAAGAAAAAAAGACAAAGTGATAAATTTGCTACAAAATAGTATCATGACTACGTTTTAAAAAAGATAAAGGAAGGAAAGAAAAACTGCACAACTATTAACAACTTAATTTAGTGGAGCAGTCAATCTTACTGTAGATATTAATTGATTTAGTACCACATATAAAAGCTACTACGGAGTATTAGGGCCAGGCTAGAGATATTTTTCTTTATGCGGGAATAAAGTCGTAAAATTACAAGAGTAAAGTCACAACATTATGAAAATAAAGTTGCTTTTTATGACAACTCTTATAAGAAGCACAATCTTCCATAAAATGAGAAATGTCAAGCATCATGTGAAGTTATACTTTGGAATCCGTTTGACATATAAGGAAAACTTTTAGCACACCAGTATCAGATTGGGCAGGATGTCAAAGTGGACTCGGGTTACTGTTTGGTGGAGCTGCTCGGCCGTCATATGCTGGTCGGAGCCCGAGGCTGTCTTTCTGAAATGGGTTGTGGTATGTGGTATAATTTTTCAACTTTATTCAAGTAATTTTATGAATTTATTATCGTAAATCTACAACTTTGTTCTCGCAATGTTACGATTTCATTCTCGTAACATTACGACTTTATTCTCACAATATTGCGACTTTGTTCTCATAATGTTATGACTTTATTCTGGTATTTAAAAAAAGAGAAATTTCTAGCGTGGCCATAATGCTCCATTGCAAAAAGCAGCTCAAATCATAGTGTTGTGAAAAAGTCGGATATATTTCAAATTTAGGCAAAAAAGATCACATTTGGGTAGCATTCGGCTGTTGTGTATATGATTTTGGATCACCAAACACATTTAATACTTACTGGGCCAATCAGGCAATTCTCTCAATACCACCATCCAACACACACACACACACACCCACATACACAAATCCACACCCAACACCAACCCATTTTTTTCTTTTTATTTTGGGTTTATTTTTAACCTTTTCCTTTTTTCCCACAGAAACCTATATTTTTTAACCTTATAGACCATTCACCTACTTTCAATACATTTTTAATTTTTTAATTTTTTTATTCTTTGCCCCCTTTTGTTCTATTTTTAACTTTATATTTTGATATTTATATTTTTTTCATATTATGCACCAAACACAGCCACACTTGACACCTCAACATGTGCTACACCACAGTTAGGTAAGCTCAAGGTGATCCTCCCTTTGAACCCACTGATGGGGGTTTGATCCCAGGGAGTAACCCAACAATCCCCTATCATAGCCGACCCGCAATAACCTTTCCCTTTTAGCCACCACACAATACTCTAGCCTGAACAGAGATTACCTTGCCATGTTCTTTTTTTTACCGACTCTAAAATCACCCCCAACCCTGTCGTACACTACCCAATAATCCTACTATTATAAACCAGCTGTTAGCCGTTATAACTTACCTTTTTTCCACCCTAGCCTAAGCATAATTCTAAACCCTATACCCCTTAATTCTTCTTTTTAAACTCACGTTATATACCCTCTAACCTGACCCTTTTAACTCACACTAATGTTACAGGGCAAATTACTTTCACCCTGCACAGGGCCCTAAACCTCTTAAAACTCCCTTTAAAGCTTCTCCCATCATTCGGTACCTACCCTGACCACTTTAACTAAACCTAAGGGCACAGAATACCATACGTATCCTCACATATAGCTCTAACCCTAACCAATATTCCCACACCATTGAAAAACCCTAACTCTACCAATAAACACTTGGACATTTCTAGATTTAACCAACAACCAGACTCCTAGACACTAAACTTAAGGCCCCAGAACACCCAGTCCACCCCCTGACCCTAATAAACGCAGCACATAACAATCACAGAGAAGACTTGACCTTACATTTAATCAGCACCTTCAGAAACAAAAGAATGTTACCAAGAGGCTCTGTGAGCATTTGTAAGCAACTTCTTACAAGATGGATTCAAGTTGCTCAAGACTGTTGTTGATCTTGATTTGAGTAAGCGTTCTTTTTTAATCAACTCATCCAACTCTGTGGAACTCATCCAACTCTGTGGAACTCATCATCTGTGGAAGCCATCAGGTGGCAGGAGAAGACCATCGACTAACACTAACCTAAGCCTAACCCCAAACTATTTTCAGTGCATACCTCACCTTACCCCTAAACGTATCCCTAGAAGTCTGGAATGATACATAAAATGAAGGCTGGAGCTTGACCCATGTGCTACAGACAGCTAATTTCCCCTCACATCATAAAGGGCATGATTTTCAAAAGAGCATTTCAGTAGACATTAGCTAAGATGTCGAGAAAGGCAGTGAGAAAGGTTTGTTTTTTTTCATTTGTATGTTTCATACATAGGCTTCAGGACACATATGACTGTTACTAAATGTTTTTAAATTTAATTTAGCTCAATATGGGACCTTTAAGCTCTTACCCAAATAAAACATCCAAATAAATACATATATAACTTATGAATGAATAAATATATTTTAACATATACAAAAGCATAAATAAGTTGTTTTGTTCATGAAAAGGGCAAATCCTTTGGGTTTTTTTTCATGTATTTCTCTATGTATTTATTTGTGTATTTATTTATGTATTTATTTCTATTTTTAATTATTTATTTTTTTCTACATTAATTTATTTCAACTTTTATTTATCTATTTCCACTTTTATTTCTGTATTTCTACATTTCCACATTTATTTATGCAAATTTGTCTCGGTATGCTAATAAGTGGATGTTTCTAACATCTCTCTTCAGCACAATTGGTTAACATCCTGACCCTGACAGATTAAACAGGAGAAGATGAATGAACGGACAGATGGACGGATCAATACCAAAAATAAGCAGTACATAACTCTAGTTTCACAAGTGTTTAGTTAGGCTACATGTTGGGGCAGCTGAAGCAGCAGTGATACTTCCAGCGCTGCATTCTATTGCTGATAAAAATTTATGGGGAAAAAAGCTAGCGAAGCAGATCATGAGTAGCGCCAGCTGGCTAGTATTTTTGTCAATTTTGTTTTCAATCAGTCAATACATCTTTAGGTAGAACAACTACTCACTTTTTTATTAGAGGAAAATGCTTCAGCCATGCACCATTGTCAGTTTAGAAAATAGGCAAAACCTTAGATTTGATTATGTCCACTTAGATAAGGCCCTACCGGCAGTGTGGTCCATGTGTATGATATTATGTAAAATTATACTAAATAACAACTGGAGAAATCTTTTTTACATTTCATTTCACACAAAGAAGTCTGTTTGTGGCTTTTTTGTGATTACATCAATATAAAACAAAAGAACTGAACTCTTTACAATGAGTTACCTTCTGTCAGTAATTGGGTTCTTCACAGTACAAAAAAAATTATTGATTTATCTGGTAACAATAAAAATTGCATACATATGTGAGTATTCACAAATCAACAATAACAAGCAAGATACAAAAGCTGAAACAAAGGAAAAAACCTTAGCAATTTCTAAAAGAAACAAGGTATAAAACTGTAGCTATACCACAATGTCAAGAGACAATACAAGGTGGAAAAAGAGTAAGTTATAATTAAAAATGTACATATGCATTACTTCACTATAATTATCAATTTGCTGAAAATTAAGTCCACCAATAAAATGTTACATAGACCTTACAAACACCATCACACATTTTTCATTGCTTTATTATTGACATTTGTCTTAAAGCACAACAAAATTTCTCAACTTTGTTAGCTTCCATGTAAAGTTACCCATGTGAAGACCCCAAGTGTAATTTAAAGAAAGATGTTCATGGGTTTCGTCCAAAAGATGTATATGACAGTATTCACATGTATAAACCTGATTTCAAGTCTAGAGTTAAATTGAGGGCTGGTGAAAAGGGGGAACTAGCCAAGAAGATGACTGGAGTAGAAACTCTGAACTATTGACTAGTACGTGTGTGTGTGTGTAAGATCTTCATATCTCTTGGGGATTTTACTTTAAATATCTGTAATAGAAATTGTAACAACTGGACTAAAAGGAGACATTATAGTTTGATAATTCACTGTTGTACTGTAATAGCACTGGTAATCTCCCTCGTTTCTATCGCTGGCTTCAAGAAATCTGAAGGTAGAAGAGTTGGTACTTGATGCGTGCGTCTTAGTGAATGAGCCAGAGGTTTTCTCCAGAGTGAACCATCCTTCTGAATGTTGTATTGCGATGGAACAAGTCATGGCAACAAGATCACCCCAGGGAACTGAGCCAGTGGGATCCATAGTTAGGGTTGGTTTTGGAAGAATAACTGAAAATGTAAAATATATATATATATTATTTTTCTGATAATTTTGGTTAATATATTATATATAATTTTAAAAATTACCATTTAGCCTGACAGAGTCACTCAGGATGCTGCTGTAGTCCTCATTCAAAACTCTTACTTTAAATTGACACTGGTAAAACCCCATATCCTCAAAACTGACCTGGGAGATGTAGAAAGTTGCTGAGCTGTTGCTAGTCTCTACACTCTTACTGAACGAACCAGGTGACCTTGTAAAGATGAAAGTCCCTTCTACTTGTGTGTCAGTGACTGAACATCCAATGCTGACACTGTGACCCCATGTTATATCACCAGGAGGCTTCATGGTGACTCTGGGCTGAATTTGATCTGTTAAAACACAGTAGAACATAGAACCTTGTCTGGGCCAAGTTTATTTTGGAGGTATAACAACACAATCTATCAGTAATTATGAAAAATATGATGATGGTACAAAATTATTCCTATCACTATGGTGCAATTTACTTACCTGCTTAACTGAAAGGTTATTTTTTTACACCATGAACATTAACACTGCATTGCTTGCTTATATAGTCGATGTAATAAAATAAGATGATCTTATTTAACCTTGTCAAATCAAAGGGTTTAATCTCGTCAGCTAAGGGTTGGCATGACACATAACTAATTTAAAGCGCATTTTATGTGGAAATTATATTTGTTAAATTTTTGATTATTCTGGTGTAATATTACATTAAGGATTTTACCACTCTCTTGGTAAATAAAATTGAATGAACAAAAATTTAAATATAGAAAGTCTTTCTTACCAGAACAAACGACTCCAGCATCCTGGCTATGAACACAATTATGTGTCCCAAATCCACTGTGGGAGCACTCACTGAGATATCTTTCCCTGCCTATACAAGACACCTCGCCAAGCCGATTTTGTCCTGTTGTTTGTGCAAACTGACGGAGACTCACTGGTGTTCCACAGCCCAGCTGTCTGCAGACAACTCTAGCATCATTCATGTCCCAGTTATCATTGCACACTGTTCCCCAGGTCCCATTGTTGTAGATTTCAACTCTTCCAGAGCACCGAGCTGGCCCACCTAACCTGATGCTGCCACCTAGGAATAGAATATTCTAAATGAGTGTGCTATATAAGTTATTAAAACACATTTTAAATGGATATTTTCATGCCTTACTGGCCAAAAACAGCCTAGCATATTTCATTATAAATAACATGGATCTGTGATTGAAGTTATTCTCTTCCTGAATGAGTTTCAAGGATCAAAGCTCAAGCCACTGTGTATCTTCAGACAGGTTATTAGATTGTGGGGATGAGCTAACGGATTAGTATTTTTTCACGGGTCCCAAGACAAGAAGATCTAGATCTCCAAAATGAGTAAAAATTCAACCAGGTAATTTGGGGATGTGTATCGAAACCTCACACTTGTATTAGTCTTCTACTTCATATGGGACATGGTCACGGGGGCAACAGTCCCAGAAGAGACTCCCAGACTTCCCTCTCCACAGTGACCCTTTTACAGCTCTGCTGGGGGAAGCTTGAAGCGCTAACAGGCCAGTCGAGAAACATAGTCCCTCCAGCGTGTCCTCTGGGCCTCCTCCCAGTGGGAAGTGCCCAGAGCACAGCTAACTCCTGTTGATGTGGAGGAGAAGCGTCTCTACTACAAGCCTCTCCTGAATGACTGAGCTCCTCACCCTAAGGCAGTTCCCAGCCACCCTGCAGAGGAAGCTCATTTCATTTCATTTGTGTTCAGGGTCTCATACTTTCAGTCATGATCCATATTTCATGACCATAGGTGAGAGTAGGAACATAGTCAACCAGTAAATCCAGAGCTTTTCCTTATCTCTAAGTTCCTTCTTCACCCTGACAGACCGTCTATTGATCTCCCGCTAGATTCTCCTCTCACTAGTGAACAGGACCCGAGGATACTTGAAATCCTCCTCTTGAGGCAGGATTTCTCCTCCAACATGAAGGGGATAAATTGCCTTTTTCTGGTGGAGTACCATGGCCTCAAATTTGGAGGAGCTGATTTTCATCCTGGCCGCTTCACACTCAGCTGCAAACCACCCCATTGCATGTTGTAGGGGAGCCAGCAGAAACACGCCATCTGCAAAACGGTGGGACAAAATCTGCTGGTTCCCTAACCAGACCCCCTCCGGCCCTTGGCTGCATTTAGAATTCCTGTCCATAAAGGTTATGAGGAGGACCAGTGATTGCCTCTACTGAAGGGCCCCTGACTCCGTTTTTCTGAATCCCCCCCACCCCACACAGCACTATGAGTGTCACAGTGGAGTCCCTTCTCCAAGCCAAGTAAAAGTTGGTTAACAAAACAAGCAGTTTTTTCTTCTACTACTGAAGCCTTCCTAGAAAATAAGACAGCACTGCGCATGCCTAAATGATTTAATCTGATCATATGCTTGGTTACATGAATACACATGTCATGATCAGATCATTTTATTTAGTATGGGAAACAGAACAAAGAATGGACTAATTAGCTTGAAGGGAACTAGGGGAAAGATGACTGGCACAAGGGGCGACAGAGAGTAGCTCAAAAAATACAACACTGCTTAAATATAACTAGAAAACAACTAGAATGAGACAAAATGGAAAAGAAACCAGTGACCCAGAAAACACAAAATGACAAAAATCAAAGTGTAACGGAAAATGCAAAAAGAAACTTAAACAGAGCCAGAAAGTCCACAAAGGACAGTTTTATGGCAATAAGTGACTCTTTAATCTAAGAATCATATTTTTTTTATTTTGAAAAACAGTGCTCTTTTTTATTCGTGCCAAGGCTTTTTTCAGTAGTTTTTCTTGGCAAAACACCTATTAATGTACTTAATAATTTCACCTCTTCATCTTTAAATTTCGTACAAGTTCCTGCAACATTGGTAAGAACCATAATTCTCCAGTTAATATGAACAGTTTTTGAAAAGAAATCTGCCAGAAACTGGTAAAGTTGAAAAAGAAAATGCATGTTTTTACTTTAGACTTTGTCTGAAAATCCATTTTTAAGCAACAGGGTTAGATAAATTGCACATATAATCTTCAGATGTATAATAAATTCTAAGCAAGCACTTTGTAAGATATTTTAGAAAATGACAGGTGCTGCAGCTCTGTCTGTCTATATAAATAAAAAAACAAGATATTCTCACCCAAGCAGATCACACTAGAATCTGCATTGTGATTACAGTTGTGATTTCCAAATCCTCTGTGTGAGCATTCAGATAGATGTCTTTCGCTGCCTGTACATGCCAAATCATCCAGCCAAATTTTACCCGTTCCTTGTCCAAAGTATGCTGTTTGAGGGGCAGCAAGTGCTGTACCACAACCCAACTGGCTGCAGACAACCTGGGCATCATCCATGTCCCAGCTGTCATCACATACTGTACCCCATGTATAGTTGTAAAAGATTTCCACTCGTCCAGAGCATCGAGAAGACCCAGCCAATCGAACTGGGTAACCTATCAGACAAGTAAGATTAAGTACAAAGTATTTTGCAAAACTTACAGCTGCAATATAGAAATAAAGAAAAAAGAAAATAAAGTAAAAGAGTAAAATACTAAATAGATAAATAGCTATTCTCACCTAAACAAAATACATGAACATCCATATTGTGTCCACAGTTGTGTGATTCAAAAGCATTGCGCTGACATTCACTTATATAAGTTTCATTTCCAAAACATTTGACTTCTTTAGGCCAGATGAGTCCGGTACCTCGACCAAATTTAGAAGATGTTTTGGTAGATGTTGCTGAACCACAGCCTACATGTCTGCATGCAACTTGAGTGTCATTCAGGTCCCAAACATCACTGCAGACTGTTCCCCAGGAGTTATTATAGTACACTTCAAGTCTTCCAGTGCATGATGCACCTGAACCAGCCAATCTAATTTGGGGATCTTCAGTTGCACAGGAAAACAGACACAAAAAAAAGGGGTTACAAAGAATAAATTACCATTGTGGTGTTAGACGTCAAAACTATCATTCCGAGGTATTAATTACCCATTTACTTTAAATTTTTGATTATAGAGTACTGAAGCCTCATCTTCTTAAAAACTCAAGGATATTGTGACGTGTATAGTTTTCTTTTGGTGAAGTTTAATCTTACCTTCTTGTTTTAAATATACATTTTCAAAACCAAAAAAATTAAGTCTGATCTCACATCTTCACTTGTTGTTAAGCTATTATATTTGAATTTGGATCCAATTTGTTCACACGCAAATAGGAGTAGAATAGTGAGCCATAAAAAAACAAAATAATGAAAAGTCCAAAACAAGCTACTTTCTGGCAAAGCATCAACAGAGTGCAGGTAACATGAAAAGGTATAGCATCAAGATGATATGAGACTATTATCAGGTGGAAGGAAAGGAGAACGGAAGGATGCATAAAGAAGGAGTGCCATACACTGTTAAAACAAAGAGATGATTGGTATTGTACAGGTGACCAGAATGAAGTTGAATGTATAATAGCAGGATCTAAAATTGGGGACTAAGGCCGGAGAATTAAAAAACAGAGTTGTATGGACACAACTAAGGACAGTACCACACGACCAAGTGAAAAACAGAAACATGAATAACTCCAAAGCTAAAAGTAAAGAAATTCAAAAACTTAAAAAATTTTGATTAAAATTTCCACACAGAGAATAGAACTTTTATGGCAAAAGCCTAATAAAAAAGCATCAGCAGAAAAGGCCAAGACCTGAGGTTAGGTTGTTTTATTGTCATCGGTGTAATAAAGCTGGTTTATGTTGAGTCTGAATTGCTTACTAAGACAGCTGTTCCAGTAAACTTAGCTTGTTTGGGACCATAACCTAAAATAGCAGTAAGGAAGGAGCTTGGTCAAGGCAGCAATCTGTTTGAAAGAGCTAATTCAATTACCCTTGGGATCTTCTTACTTTCCTTCCAGCCTGAGCTATACAGTTGGCCACAATCCTTTGCTTGACAGGATGTATAGGAACAGCCCATTTCAATAAGTGTCACAAAAAAACATTATTTCTTCACAATTTCTTTGTGTGACACATGCTAATGTACATGCCTTCATATTTTTTGAGTTTTGAAATGGAGAGCTTTAGTTATTTACTATATTTGTGTTTTTTTAAGTTATTTTCCAGATGTAGTCCCAGGGATAGGAGCTGGGAACTGAAGTTAAGAGCTACAATTTGAGGTATTCAAATTCAGTTGCTACAATTTGAGGTATTCAGTTATCAGGTCACATCAGGTCAGCCTTAGGTCACCTCACTCAATGACTGCCAGCCTTTGACACTGACTCACATCCTAATAAAGTGCTCCGAAAACGCTGGTTAAGGAACACATTGTCTCCAGTCTCCATCCAGCATTCGACCTGTTCCAGTTTCCCTACCGACTGAACCGCTCCACTGAGGACACCATCTCCTCTGCTCTTCACCTGAGCCTAGCACACCTGGAGGAGAAGAACACCCATGTGTGGATGCTGTTCATGGAATTTAGTACAGCTTTCATCACCATCATCCCACAGCATCTGATAGGAAAACTGGAACAGTTGGGCTTCAATAAACCTCTCTGGGTTGGACAAAATACCTCTGATGTCATCACCCTAAACACAGGCTCCCCTCAGGACTGCATCCTGAGCCCTGTTTAGAGTCGTTTACTCTAATGACACACGACTGCGTCCCCAGGTTCACCACCAATCACATCATAAAGTTTGCAGGCTACACTACAGTGGTGGCCCTTGTCAGAGACCACAACGACCAGGACTAACAAGAGGTGGTGGAGCAGCTGGTGGGCTGGTGCAGAGAAAACAGCCTGATCCTGAATGTGGGGAAGATAAAGGAGATCATCGTCTTCAGGAAGAACCTGCCTAACCATGCTCCACTGCTCATCATCAGCCCAGCTATGGAGGTGGTCAGCAGCGCAAAATTCCTGGGGGTGCACATCACAGACAACCTCACCTAAACTGTAAACACCACCTTCCTGCGGAGGATGAGGAGAGCCCACCTAACCCCACCCATCCTCATGACATTACAAAGAAGTTAATAAGACATTTTGCTTCCTATCCAGGAAGCTTATGAAAATAAAATGTCAGAAATAGCATTGAGTTTGAGGCTTCATAGAGTGGACCGAAAACAAAGCCTTGTTTTGGCTTAGAAGACATGCAAATGGAGCCGGAAAAACAGTTCCGCCCCTTTGGAATGGGGGTTGTTTGGGTTCTTTGTTAGCCTTTAATATCTGATACCTGTCTATGTCGCTGAAAGGGGGGTTGTTAGAGAATGACTATGCAATGACTATGACCTGGATGACTGAGAATCTTCACCAGCGATTTACCAGTACCATAGAGAGCATAGTGACTAGCTGACTCACGGTGTGGAGGCCGCAGCACCTCAGACTGGATGTAAGTGAGAAGAGTGGTGAGAACAGTAGAGAGGATCATCAGGGCTCCTCTTCCCTCTATTAAAGACATTTCATCCCAGCACTGCATGTCCCAAGCCCGTAACATTATAAATGACCCCTCACACCCCCATCATGGACTGTTCTTCCTGCTGCACACTAGGAAGAGACTTTGCAGCATTTGATGCAGGTCCAGAAGATTCCGCAACAGCTCCTTCCCCACTGCCATCAGACAGCTTAACTGAGAAAACTCTAAAGCATGTCACACAGACTCCGCATCACACTGATAACACCAGACCAAAATTCTGCATATCTGCATCATACATGTTTAATGCTCTGAACTTCCATAGCAATGCATTTTTGCACCATATTTTTTCTCCCACACTGCTTACATTTGATCACTGCTGCACTTTATTAAATAGAAATGTTCTAAAAACTGTGTATATAAGAGATCATTTTGCGTAACTTTTATTGTCATTTTGTATACACTGTTTACAAAATGACAATAAAATCTCTCAAAGTCTACTCAGATTAAGTCCAGTGTAGACATATAAAGAGTAGGCACCTCATAGACTGCTATTACCTACCGGCACTGTCGAGCCGTGGGGCCACCATCTTGGAAATGTCACCCATTCCACCTAATGCAATGCCTTCTGACAGGCTCAATGGAGTATAAGTGCATTTAATCAATCATAAATAACTAAATACTAAACATTTTTCACATTTTATAGGGATGCAAACCTTAGAAATAGAGCTAAATGTATAAAGACACGTGGTTCAGCATATTTACATTTTTTAAATTGTGATATGATATACAGCCCTTCTGATACATAACAGTTATATCACGGTGTGCTCTTCTAACTATGGCTCCGAGCTGTAATCCATCCTGGTTTCCAAGCCACATGTATATCCGTTTCGCGGATGGGTTAACATGCACATCTCACAGCTGAAGACATTCTGGAATCGACTCCCACCTGGTTCCTCTATTGCATATCTGTATTTTTTTATTTTGCTAATTTATGTTCATTTGACTGGCCTGCACCTACAACTATATAAACACCTTAATAAATAATAATTTTAAATAGTTCTGATAGTCTATATGATTCAAATCAACTCAACACAAATCAACTGTTGCCCAGAGTTCTCCATGTTCCCGCTTTGGTTCTGACAGATGAAGATACTGTAATCATATTAAAGGAGAAGCATCAATGACTGTTTAGATGTGCCGTGCTAATAAAAGTCTGTTATAAATTAATAAATAGACTGTGGTGGGTATAGATGTGTGTCTGTACTATTTGTGTGTCTCTCTCTATTTTAGATCTATGTACATTAAGCAAACTATTCTGAATATATTCTAAACTTATTTCCATCTGTGAATACAATTTGAAATTGTGAAAGACCAGCGTTTGAGACAAGATTGTGATGCATTTAAATACTTCAGCAGTATTTCCAAAAAATTAAAAAACAAAGCCACTGGACTTGTTTTCCAAGTTTGAAAATGTTTCGCTTCCGATCTAGAAGGCTTTCTCAATTCAAAATGTCTGGCATAGTGATGATTTGCAGGCTTATAGAGTAGCCAAAGTAAAAGCCTTCTTATAGCTTAGAAAACATGCAAATTGGACCGAAAAACAGGCCCTACCCTTAGTAATGGGGAGTTGTTGAGGTCGTTTTTAGCCTGCAAAACCCAATACTGGACCATTCCTCTGAAAAGGGGAGTCGTTAGGGTCTTTGTTGGCCTGGCTAAACAGTCTGGATGTTTAGCCAGGCCAGAAACGACCATAACAACTCCCCTTTCAAGGAGTCACTATTATTCAAATACTGTAGGCTGGAGAAGCTTCAATTTTTACTTGTGCACATTGACATAAACCAACCAAGATTTTGCATATTACCCTTCTTAGCAAATCGAGTCTCACCAACAAATCCTCCTTAAACAATTATGAACTAAATAGTCATTCATTTCTTCAGAATCTTCATTTCTTCCAGCTGCAGCTAAAAGAAATGAAGATGGATGAAGAAATGAATGCAGCCGCAGCTGAACCCTTGATCGTTTACACTTGTTGATACTTTCAGAGAGGTGTTCCAAATCGGTGTGTCCTGACTGTGTCCACATCAAATCACATTTGTCACATTTAAAAATAATACAAGGGAAACAGAAACGTGCATTAGTCATTCCGCAGCCTGTCAACCATGACTTCCGCTCAAATCAACTCCTGCAAAAACTCTGATTTTAGACTTTATTTTTTATTTCAGTCTGCTGGTTGATGTTAGGGTCAGGCTTGTTTGCTCCCAACTCCTTAACCAGAATTTTCTCTTCCATGGTCCTTCTTGTAAATGGTTGCATAAGTAACAATGTCACTGAGAGATCAGTTTTAAAACAGATCACTGAAGACAAAGCAAAGACATACCTGCTGGTCAAAGGCTTTCATACTGTTCTCAGAAATGTAAATCAATTAACTTGTTTTCATTTAGAATTAATGATTTATTAAACAACTTAATTAATGTATGAACAGAAGCATTGTAAGATGACCATATGGTTTGTGTTTTTTTTCCTTGGATGTTAGTAAGGTTAAATATTAAAGTGTGCCGTTTTTCTCCTGAATAGGGTGATTGTTTACAGGCTTTGTTCCATTCTTTGTGCTGAGATATAGGTAAAGGATGGAGGGTTTGAAAATGAGTTTCCTCCCTAGGTTAGATAGGGGGGAAACATAGATAAACACGTCCTTATTGTGTTTAAGATCCTCACGTCCTGTCTCTGGTGTGAACGGGAAACAGTTTTCTGAAATGTTTATCTGAACAAATTTATGTCCTTTGATGAGGTGTTTCTGTTGGGAAGACTCAATGTTAATGTGTAAGAAGTCTTTATATTGCAAGGGTGGGCAGCGACCTAGTCAGAGCTACACTGGGAGCTGTACGCAGCTGTCTCGTGTAGTTCTCATCTGCAGAGGAAAATAAAACCTTTCTTCCTTGCATATCAACTCTCAGTGTTCATTTTTACTCCACAACCTCAACACAGCAGGCTTCCCACTTCAATGTAGATTAAAGTGATCTGCTTTGGCAATTTAAGGTCGTCATATAAGTGACCAGATATTGAAAGGTCTCTTCATATCTAACTGTGGAAACAGCATCGACACATGGGTGTTCTTCTCCTCCAGGTGTGCCAGACTCAGGTGAGGAGAAGAGGAGATGACGTCCTTGGTGGAGCGGTTCCATCGGTTAGCAAACTGGAATGGGTCAAATCTTGGGGGGAGAATGGAGACGATGTGTTCTTTTACCAGCCTTTCAAAGCATTTATTATGATGGGAGTCAGTGCAACAGGCCGATAGTCATTAAGTGAGGTGACTTGAGGCTTCTTTGAGGCTGGCACTAATGCTTGGTGCAGCGAAGTGTTAAAAATGTCTGTGAGGACACCAGCCAACTGACCTGCACACTCCTTCAACACCCGCCAAGGTATGTTGTTGTCAGGGCTTGGGGCCTTTCTTGGGATGAGTTTCTTCAAGAAACTCAACCTACACATCAGCTTGGAAGAGAGTGCCTTCTCTTCTGGATGGGAAACAGGTTTAACTGTTTAGTGCCTCAAACCTTCCAAAGAAAGTGTTTAGTCCATTTAGGAAGTCAGCATCAGCTACACCCACTGGGGTGGAGGGATAGTTGTGTTCTGTTATCGCCCGTATGCCTTGACACATACTCCTGGTGTGCAGCTTGTCATGGCAAATATTCTGGATTTCTGACTGTGGCTGTGGTTTGCTAACCTGATGGCAAAGTTCAAGTTGGCCCTTGTTGTCCTCAGTGCCTCTTTGTCACCAGACTTGAAGGCTGATTTTCGTCATTTTACCCATTTCTGAACCTCCCCTGTCATCCAGGTTCATTGGTTGGCCCTGGTGTTAATGTTATTTTTTGTTGCTGACATCCTCAATGAAATTGTTGATGTAGGCTGAAACAGTCATGGCATGCTCATCAGTTTTGATCTTGTTGACATATGTTGCTGCAGCTCTGAACACGTTTCAGTCAGAGCATTTGAAACTGTACTGTGTGCCTCTATGGCCCCCTCAGTCCACACCCTCACCTGCTTCACTGTGGGTTTTGCTCTGATCAGCAGGGGTTTGTTAACCTGACAACAGCCAGATGCATGTCTCGCTCCGCCTAGCTCCACTCACATACATCTGGGAACCCGCCATAGGAATTGCCTTTACTGAAGGCTGGGCCTTATCAAAACTCCTTGCATATAATTGGATAAGCCACTTGTCTGTCATCTTTATTGACGTGCTATTTAAAC